GGTTCAATGGACCCAGAAAGACCTTCTACATATGGCAACATGAAAGTCCTGATTAGGGTTAAATAAACCATAAGTAGGCCACGTTTTATTATTTTTTATTATCGTGTTTAGTGTTTTACTATCCAGACAGCAGTTCCTCTGTTTGGACAACCACGTGGCTGGCCCTACTGCCCTCACCACATGTTGTGAAGGGAGGGACTCGTCCGACGGCAGGTCATCTCCTTCGTAACAAAGAGCCGTCCACGAAGAAGCACCGGGCCGCGGATAGCTAAATATGATTTAATAACCTGCGATCAAACAGGCTCGCATAGACCGCCTGTGCCACTCATATAGCAAAAAGGCCAGTTGTTACCACGGAAACCATGTTTGGCGAGCGTGGGAGATAAATTGCAGCACTATCTGCCTAATAATAATTTCTATTATCTGCACTGGATGTTTAGATTATCATGTAAATAGGGGGACGTGCCGGGCGACAGCAGGTTGGAGCTGAAGGCTGGTGAATAGAGGAGATCAAATAAAACAGCTGAGCAATCACCACGTGTGGGTGTGCCAAGAAAACACGCAGAGAGGAGGTAAGCCACAATTACCTCTTCTTCCTCTTTTTTTTTTTTTTTCCTTGCTGGTAGCTTCTTTTCGAAACCATTGAAATGGGAAGCTTGTGGAAGTAGACTGTAAATTTTGTGACCTGAATAACCGCCGCCACAGACAAGGAGGAAGTCTTCGGGTTGCTTAAATTGGTGGCATTTCTCTGCTTTCATAACATTCCGCTAGTATGCAGTAAAGAACAAACTTCCCCCGCCTTTGTCGCCGAACTATAAGAGCTGAGCTTCGATCGCACATGTTTACTTTTGCTTGACGCGCCTCATTGCACAAACGGTAAGGACGAGCTTTTCTTGACACCATGTGGGTCTTTAAAATGATTTTCCTCCTAATATTTGTTAAAGTTTGTACCGATTTTCTATTTCCTTGATGATAAGATGCAGGAAGCAGATACGCCACATTGTTTTGATGACAACACGGTGCTGGGAAGTTGTGCCAGTTAAAGCTTGGATACACTAATTTCCCCAGTGTAGTTAACTCATTAAGTTTATGAGGGTCATCATTTTCATTACACATCCAGTATTTGTGCATATACTGAGAACAGGGCCTGGGAGTTAATGATAAAAGCATCATTGCACTGTATTTACAACACAGAGCAAGCAATAACACAGTATTACAACTTGTATACAAACTCATGTGCCAGACCAAAACACTGGCTCCTCATTAGGAGATAATGCACTACCACAATAAACTCTAGAAGAGGGATACGGAAAGGAATTAGGAGGGAATATAAGGGGGGGAAAAGGGAATTACAGTTTATTCGTGGATGAACTTCATTGTCTTTAAGCTTACAGGCTAACATTGATTATATATATGTTACATTATATAGGAGTGCACTCTTAAATCAAGTGCCAAATTGACTACAGTTTGAAATACTTTGTTGTGCAGTGCGGTAATCTCTTTCCATTCTCTCTTATCGGCAGAGCTCAAAGCCCTCGAGGAGCTGATGAGCGCTGGTTTATTGGCGAGGACAGGAAAACCACGCTGTCTCGTCGGGTTTGTTCCAGGCCACTGACCCAATAAGACGCCTTCGTCTCCCGCGGTCCGGACTGCCTGACTGATCAAACCTCCCCGCGCTGCAGTCCATTCATCCCCCCAGAGTCAAGGACATAATGTGACACGTCTCAGCCCTTGACTGACTTGAGTGACTTACACCGAGGCCACCATGCAGGAGTGCCACACCGCGCTGTGTCTCTCTGTCTACATCATTACCTTTGTGCTGGGCTTCCCGGCCAATGTCCTGGCCTTCTACACTTTCTGCAAGAAAGTGAGACAGAAAGCCACACCGATTGACATCCTGCTCCTCAACCTGACCATCTCCGACCTCCTCTTTCTCCTGTTCCTGCCCTTCAGGATGCAGGAGGTGATGAACGACATGATCTGGGATTTGCCCGGCCCCCTCTGTCCGCTGACCGGCTTCATCTTTTACATGACTATCTACAACAGCACCTTCTGCCTCACCGCCATCAGTGTGGAGCGCTACTTGGGTGTGGCTTACCCCATTCAGCACTCACTGAAGCGGCGACCTGTGTACGCTGTTGCTGCCAGCATCTTCTTCTGGATTTTCACCTTCCTCCACCTCAGCATTGTGTTCATCATACCCCTAATTGGCTCAGAAAACCCCCCCTCAGTTCACAACGTGTCAGATGCCGCCGTCATCGAAAGCAACGAGATGGTTGTGTGCTACGAGAATTTCTCCGCTGCTCAACTGCAGGTCCTCCTGCCTGTACGTCTGGAGCTCTGTGTGGTGCTTTTCTGCATCCCTTTAATCATTTGCAGTTTCTGCTACATCAACTTTATCAGGATTCTGTCCAAGCTGCAACACATCGACCGACGCCGGCGCCTCCGGGCCATTGGCATGGCTTTAGGAACACTGCTGGTGTTCGCTTTATGCTTCGGCCCTTACAATGTCTCCCACATTGTGGGTTTTGTTACATGGAGAAGTCCTGACTGGAGAGACCAGGCCCTGCTGTGCAGCACCTTTAACGCTTGTCTAGACCCTCTTATTTTCTACTTCTCGTCCTCTGCCATGAGAGGGAACGTAGGCAGTGTGATGGAAGGGGTTAAAAGGCGTCTCAACAGGTGCATGCCCTGTCACATGCCCCAGGCCTTGAGGGGGGGAATTAACAAGACTGGAAAAGATAAGGAACACAAACAAGAGGAGATCAATACTATCAGTGCTGACAGAAAAGGAGCTGCGAGCAGCTCCCTCTCCTAATTTGTTATTTCTTCATCCCTACAAGCAGGAAATTAATGCCATGTTTGTGTTTTTACACGTGAGGAGATGACTCGGCTGTATACAGCGCAGCCAGACTTTGTTTGCGTGTCTGATGAACCTCCTGTTTGGGAACGAGACAAGACGGGTAACCTTCTGTCAGCCTGAGCTCATTGTTTTTATGTAGTATAATGTGTAAAGCCACAGAGGCAGCCTAATTCTAGCTGTCAGATAAAAAAAGAAGGGAAAAAAAAAAAAAAAGAAGAAAGTCTTACATAAAGTAAGAGGGTTTCATAAGCACTCCAGTAGTGAAATCAGGTGTTGCGGAGTAAACAAAATGAATATCTAAGCAACAGCTTCGGACGTCATCTCTGCACAATGATCGGCTGGTCGGCTTTAATTCAAGGACAGGTTACGTTGTCTGTTTGCAACAACATCTTAATTATATATCAAGTGTTGGTGGTCTGACAGCAGATTCATGAATGTAGAAAATAACAGGGCTTTGTACAAAGAACCTCCAACATGCACTTTTTTTTTGTCAGAGCATACGTCTGTATATTTTGCCATTTTCATGCAGCGTGCGAATGTATGAGTTTATATAATGTGTATGTGTGACGTCTGTATTAGAAGGGTTGTAATTTTGTAATAAAAAATAAACATTATTTTCATACACAAATCATAGTGTGAATGCGAGTGTATGTAATGGAAGAGAAAGAGGGCGACAGACACGGCTAATATTTTCATAAGCAAATCATATAATAATTGTTAACTGTGATACGGCCAGCTGTCATGTAAAACGTGTCTTTGTTTATGTGTGTTTGTACAAGAAAGAGGTTAGATAGATAGGGGGAGTAATTTAAGACAATGACTGATGTAAAGTTTGCATGTAAATTTGCACAGCATCACATGAACTGAGTCATGTTTTATGAAATGTGTTCATTTTATATTTCTTATGACATAGAATTAAAAAACAAAAAACAAGAATGAAGCAGTAGAAAGTTTATTGAGCAGTGCGTTCCTGACATCACCGATCTGGCGTTACTGTAGATACATCAACGAGCGTTGCGATCGTTATTTCTGGCGCCGCTTCTTGCTCTCGGCAGCGTGGGCAGGCCTAAATTTAAAATGAACTTCCACCAACATGCGAATCAAGATCTCACCCCACACGCTGCGAACATAAACAATGCTATCACACAAGCAAAGCTCTGGCATCGGCTTGTAATCCTGTTTTTGTGAGGATTAGGCCTACACGGAGGTTGAGCTGATGGCTGTATCCGTTTGACAGGTGGATCATGCATGAAGCATTCATTTTGACGCACAAGACCCGAGTGAATGACTAAGATCTGCGGGCTAGCAGCCGATGACACAATGAACGAATCCAAAAAAACACGCTAGTCAGCACACCGGCAAGCGATAAAAAAAAAAAAAAGTTAGACAGATAAACGGCTTTGATGTGCAGAAAGAAATCAAGGAGGATGAGAGAGCAAAGAGGAAGCAGATGAAACCCGACGTATACAAGCGCCTGTCTGGAAATTGGAAGAAACTTTTATTGCAAATGAGAGAGGGACCTATGCGCAGTATTTACTTATTGTGTAGATAACACCAGCAATTCAGAATTAATCTTCTCATTTCTGTGACGACTCTGTACTTGAATTTGTATGAAGTTGTTTGTCAAAGGTTGGTCTGCCGAGATGAGCCACGCTGAATACCCGCCGGCCCTTTTTTTGTTTTCTCTCCTATTTCATTTTGCGTTTCCTGGAAGACAATAATTGGTTATTGCGTCAGTGTTGACTTTTTCCTAACAATGTGTGATAGGCTACAGGGATAAGGCAATAAGAAAAACAGCCCCGTGTGAGCGTGTGTGTGTGTGTGTGTGTGTGTCTACATGACGTGCTCGCCAAAGGCAGAGGAAAATATTATACTCACATGGCAGACATCATTTTCCTCGCACACAGAAACGTTTGGCTGCTGTGGAGAGCGAGATCACATAAATGACACGTGTTTTGTGTTTATTTATTTTTTTTAAACAACTTCCTGTAATTCTCGCTAAAGAGGAATTGATCTCTCACCTTCCAATAAAAACACAAAGGTCATCGCGGAGAGGAAACACAGCTTGAGAACGTTCAGGTATAGAATCACATCATTAGGGGAGGCATCTGGAAAGTAGAGCAACGGAAAAAAAAAAAGGCCAACACTGATTAGCACTGACTTATCATGTTATCGAGCATGACAGAATTAAATCAGAGAAGTTGAACTGGCTTTGCTTGATGGACATTTCCCTCCTCCCGGGGAGGAGAGGTGTTTAAACATTGATTGTGAAAATCATTAATTTGTTCAAGTATTGCCGGCAATCTGGTGCCTTGGAACGATCAATGTCTGACCCACATTAACAGTCAAGTAGGGCAAACCCTGAGCAAGCCACGAGTACAATGTCACGCCCTGTCCTCTGTGCACTCTGTGTGTCACCGCGCACTGCGTTACTTCAAAGGGGACTTTCCTATAGATCAAATGAAGCACAAAGAGGCTATTTTGGGCATTCAAGTAAAAGTTCCGGTAATTTTCTGTACATACACAAGGTCAGGTGGGCAAGCGCGAGCCCCGAGGCTTGGATACGTGTGAAAATCACCAAGCTGAATCATCATCCTATGGGCAGAGCAGCTCGTTTTATTAATAGCGTGAAGTGTTTGACTAAGGTACAAGGTACACGTCTATGTGGGTAAAATCTGGAACAGTATTTCCACATTAAAGCTGCAGTAGGCAGAAATCTGGAAAAAGGCGGAAAATAAATAAATGAAAATGGCAGAATTTGAAAACAGCCCTCCTTCCTGCAGCTCTCTCTCTACGCTTTCCCCCCCTCTCTGTTTGAAGCCCCTCCAAACCCAACGAGCATGCGCCAAAACCAAAAGTCAACATGCACATGCAACATCGCACAGGATCCAGACCGCACTCTCTCATGTGAGAACCTTCCACTGAACCCACTGCGCCTCGTAGTGTTGATCTGGGTCACCTGATCTGGAGGAAAAGCCCTGCGATTGGCTAAAGTTTCACATCAGGAGGTAGATTATTTAATGACCGACAACAAAGGCGAGAGGAGGTGCAGACGTCTAGAGTCCCCTTGGACCACTTGAATTATAATATGCTGAATAGTTATCATGGATATTTTGCCCAGCTGGATGTGTAATGTAAAAGGGCTAATATGTGGTGATGCCCGCAGGACTTTCCTTTAATTCTAGGTGGCATTTCAGCATCTTTTAGCACATTATTTAGCTTTTTTTTTCTTTTAAATCCACACTAGTTTGGCTCACTGTCTTTACTGTTTTTCAGATGTTTTCAGTAGGGATTGACTGACATGTTTTTAATTATTATTGGTAATCAAGATGCACCAATAACCAATATTTAGAACAGATACACATTATACATGTTGATTTACTCATTTGTAGCAATGCCTTGTGTTTTTTTTTTTTTGTTAATTTCTGCATATTGTGTCTCCGCTAGAGAGACGTGTCTGTCAGTTGGAGGAAATTGCGAAAGTCAGTCTTACTTTAGAAAGAGGTAACGGTGCTCCAGATAACGTTGGCCACAGGCCCCTCAGCAAGCCTCTCAGTGTGTTTAAGACTTTGATGTTTATTGCAGCTCTAGTAATATCTGCAACCTCAACTTCCAAACAAAGCTTTAAAGCTGTCGGTCCCTGTCAGTAAACTGTAGCTGTCGGTGCTAAATGGCTGTTAGTTGTGTAACCAATCAGATAGAGCTGCTGTGTGTAGGATGTTGCTTAAGACTACATAGTGACGACAGAGAGAGAGAGATGGCTGCATGCGGGCCAAAGTAACGCACTTATCCATCCATCCATCCATCCATCCATCCATCCATCCATCCATCCATCCATCCATCCATCCATTTTCTATACACCGCTTAATCCTCACTAGGGTCACGGGGGGCTGGAGTCCATCCCTTTCACACCTACGGACAATTTAGAATCACCAATTAACCTCAACATGTTTTTGGACTGTGTGGGAGGAAGCCAGAGAACCCGGAGAGAACCCACGCTGCACGGGAAGAACATGGAGACTCCACGCAGAAAGATCCCGGATGTCCTCACTGGGATGCGATCCGGCGACCTTCTTGCTGTGAGGCAACGGTGCTAACCACCGCTCCACCTTGCAGCCCTATGACAATACCAATAATGAAAAAAAAAGCTAATTCTCAGCCTTGATAACCGACCAAGCCAATAATCGTTAGTTTTGAGAGACTCCTCTGTAAGCTTCCTGCCCAGCAACAACCAGCAAACACACAGCTAGCAGCTCCCGAGTGAACATAATTTATAGTTTAACAGCTTAAAAGCCGAATATTTCCCTAGGAACTAAAAGGAACGTTGATCTTACATTTATCAGATGCCAAAAAGTCATGCAAAATTAAATGCAAATGTTTGTCAGTGTTTGTCTCGTTGACTGAATAATTAAAGGTTTGCGAGTAAGTCAACTTTTTAAAATATTTTTTTGTTTCAGTAATAAATATCCAATTAAAGTTCTGTTGTGTGGACTGCTGACAGCAGGCTGAAGATAAAACTCGTGCTTTAAAAGGAGCCTGCTAATGCATTCTGCAGTTTAAAAGCGGCTGGCTTTCACGTTCTGTGTGGATGTTAGAGGAATTCAGCGACTAGGTGCAGTGTTTGTGCAGTGCCATGTGCTCTACATTTACAACAGCAGTGATTCACACCTCTGGCAGCTTTCTTCTCCTCACCGAACAGTAAGTATCATAATTTTCAGAGCCATCTGTCATACCGAACTGGCAGAAGAAAAAAAATGTGAATTCTGATAAACAAAGTTAAATATTTAAAACTGATGGGCAGAACATAAATTCATAGTTTTTTAAATATTGAGGAACAGGAAAGATTTGATTAAAATTAATCCTCCAATTTAAAATATATATATTATTACAACGTGCAATATCCCCCAGTTTATATACCACTACCTCTCAATATGTATGTATGTATATATCTACATTTGCACTGCTTATTATTCTTACTATTATTGTTATGATTATTATTATTGTTATTATTATTACTACTATTACTACTGTTATTATATATTTAATCCCTATCTTATATATATATATATATATATATCTTTTGTATATACCCCCCATTCAGAAGCCCATTTTCATATTATGTTTGCACTATTCTCTTTGTTTGCACTATTTCTTATATTTATATGTACATTTTTTAATTTTTTTCTCTCGTATATGTGCATCTCTGTTTAATGCTGCTACCAACAACGTGAATTTCTCCACTGTGAGATAAATAAAGGCATATCTTTTCTTTTCTTATCTT